TAGGAAGACCACAGGGCACTCTTCTGAGGCTCAGGAACGCCGCGGCCCAGCCTGGCCTCAGAGGACACACGCGCTCTTCAGGGGGCCAGCACCCAGCTGTCCCCACCCGGGACGTGGCTTGACCACCCTGGGGCAGGACAGGCAGACAGTGTGTCTGAAACGAGGCCAGCCCGGGGCGTGTGGAGAGGACGTCAGCAATCAGAGCACCTCAGGCCTCTCTGACCACGGTGGTTGTTCAGTCTGGCTGTGGTACAGAACGTGAATTTCATTCCAAACATGCTGGATGTCAATGTAGGTTCATCAGTTATAACACGTGTACCGTCTGGTGGTGGATATTGGTAAGCGGGAGGCTATGCATGTGGGGCTAGGGAGTATATGGGAAATCTCTTTACTTTCCTCTTGATTTTAATGTGAACCTAAAATTATTTTTTTTAATAAATCTTTTAAAAAAGGGGTCAAGAATAAAATCACACCCTATCAAATAAACATGCCAAAGAGGACACCTATTGAATCTTCTGTCCTGAAGCATAAGGATTACAAGAGCAGAAAACACTAAGGTGAACAGAGTCCCAGAGAGAGACCAATGCCTGCAAGGCAAGGAAGTGGCTAGGTATTAGGAATAGCAGCCACAGATAGCAGTCAGTGGCTGAGTTTAGAAATGTATCCTAAGCCCAAGTCCGTGGACTTCAGCTTGCTGATTTAGACCAGGGATTGGCAAACTCTGGCAAGCAGGTCAAACCTAGCCTATAGCCTATCTGGGTATGGCCATGATGGGTTTCAAATTTTTAAAGGGTGGTAAAACACACATACGTTTATAAGAATACGCAACAGATACTACATTTGGCCTGCAATGTCTAAAATATTTACCATCTGCCATTTTATTATCTGTCCCCCACGAGTTTACAGAGAACTGCCAACCAAGTGTCCCTCTCACTTGGCTCCAGGGCTGTGGACGAGAGGAGCTCTCTCTCAGAGGTTTCCTACTGACAGAGAAGGGGTGGGACGAGCATCACTGCAGAGAGAACATGTTCCACAGACAACGGGGAAGGGGACCATTTAAGAGGGTTACTCTGAAGACAAATGATCTCTTAAGTGACTCTGGTCTAGCCAGGAGTGACATGACAATTACAGTCCTAAATTCATTTAACAAGCACTTATCTGTTCTGGTTCCAAACAGTACAGCCTGTTATATTTTCTGCTTTGATAGCACAGGGAAAACTAGAAATAAATCTTGGAGGAGAATGTTCTGCCATTTTCACAAGTTATTCATCTAACAGTAATGCTTTTTAAATACCAGACTGGATAAAGCAGGTTTTATTCTCTTTACTGTAATTTATGACTCAGTTTTTATAGTCGTTTTGAAACAAAAAATGAATTTCCTTCCCCCAAGAAGGAAATTTTCCAATGACCAAAGAGGTAAGAACTTACTATATAACCATAAAACCATGCTCCTGCGCGGATGACTTAAAGCCACAGCAAGTCCGCATTAGTTGAATCACTAAACAGTAAATAAGAACCTTAAGTAAAATGATAGAAATAAGTTTTATTTTTAATCTTCTGAAGTAAAAAAGCTGTTAACAAGACAGTTGATACCTGGTAACCTCATACAGAATTTTTTTTTTCCCTTGAAAATGCACTTTCACTGCACTCTTTAGGAAACAGGCCAGAAGAAACTTGCATTTAACAAGTTCTGTTAAGAACATTCTACCACATTCATGTTTTTCATGATGTTGGAAACACTGTTACATGGCAGTTTAACCTCTCTCTCAGAAGAAGAATTAAGACAATTGAAATAACTAGTTCTCTAATCTTTAGTTCTGTTTCCACAAATAAAATCTAATACTTTTCACAATGAGAAAGTAAAAAATAACATAAAAACAAAACTAGCCAACCTGAAATCATTTATCCCCTTTATCCAGATAACAGGTTGATAACAGGAGATCCACAGAAGAATATGTTGGTGATTCTTCTTTAACCACTTACCTAACTCTGGGTCGAAGATAATAAATAACAGCAATGTACAATCCATAAGCGTATATAAATTCTGTATCACATTTTCCCTATTTTCTAAGGAAAGAAAACAGGTTTGATGTGTAAGAGGAAGAGCAGTGAAAAACACTGCTAAAAGGCAGTTTTGCTGTCATCACTGCTTACTCAAGAAGTACCCACATTAACCTTCTAGTAAAATAGCTACTGCCTATGACCCAAAATGTGATACGTGATTCTAAGGTGATTCTAAGTAAACATGCTTAATGTAAATGAAAAGCAACATTCCTTTTTAAGTAAAAATTGCCACACTGTTTTTGAAACTGAAAATATAAGAGCAAGGTAAAACAGCAAATTCGTGTGTTGAGACAATTATTTACCATAATCAATTCAAGTATAACCTGGAAGTTCTCAAATTATTTATTTTCCACTCAGGCAAAGACACTTAGGCCACCGCAGTCATTTCCTCGTCTGTGTCACTTGACTCATCTTTCAGTTCCAATTCCCCTAAATCTCTGTCTAGAGCTGTCACAGCTTTCTTCTTACACTTCTTGGGCACCGCATCGCTAGCACAGCCTTTTCTCATTTTAATGTTTGGCAATTTCTTCAGATCAAAATCCCATTCCATAGACAAAAGAGAGAATGCAGAAAGTTGGTGAGGTGGGGAATGAAGTCAATATTCAAAACTATGCAGAAAAAAGTTTATAAATTTACAGCAGACTCAAATGTGCTAGACGGAAACAATATAAATGCACCAGGAAAAAAAAATGTCCCCAAAACTAAGGTTTGCATTTTCCACACTTACCGTACTCTCTCCCTCACCTATAGTATGTTATAGTTGCTCACTCACGTCTGACACTTTGCCACCCCATGGACTGTAGCCCGCTAAGCTCCTCTGTCCATGGGATTTCCCAGGCAAGAATACTGGAGTGGGTTGCTGTTCCCGTCTCCAGGGGATCTTCCTGACCCAGGGATCGAACCCAGGTCTCCAGCACTGCAAGCAGATTCTTTACCATCTGAGCCACCAGGCAAGCCCCATTAATCTATAATAGCAGTTAACTGCCCAGGGAATTTCACATATTCAAGATTTTCAAAACAATGCAGGAAAACATTAGGTAGAAGTTACAAGGAGGCTGTTCCTTTCTTTCATGATTCTTAACCTGAACACTTCCCTCTGTCAGGACACACAGTGTCAAGAAATCTCAAAAGCAGGAACTATACCACACTGGAAAATCTCCAAAATGCAGAGTCAGAAAAGGTTTTTCTCTTCACACACAATGGTAAGTCACAATTAAGTTTCAGCAATCAAACAATTCTTGTAACAGAAAACTTCCAGTTTTTCCAACCTCAGCATTTCTGTGACAATCCTATGTTCACTTACTTTGGGAGCAAAATGAAGACTGCTTTGAGAACTGAACTCTAGCTAGATAAAAATACTAACAGTCTATGCTAATTTCTTCTCATTTTTGGCTTTCTTTGGAGGAGGCAGAATCTATACCGGTTTACTGAATAAAGGGAATACTTATATATCTGACTACTTAATATTGCAGGCAAAAACATTAACATCTGAAAAAATCTTAAGCTGCATGTACTTACATTATAACTACATGTAAATGAGTTAAAAAGTGAACCACTTTTTAAATACGACTGATAAATTTTATGAGCTGAGATTTTATTAATATTAAGTATTTTCTATAAATTCAGAAGTATAATAATATAAAATAAACTTAAAGGTTTTAAATAATATGGACTTAATTTATCTAATTTCGGTTAAAATTTCAGGAAGTATTTTCTATAAATTCAGAAGTATAATAATATAAAATAAACTTAAAGGTTTTAAATAATATGGACTTAATTTATCTAATTTCGGTTAAAATTTCAGGCTGATCAACATGACCTACCTAAGGTCAAAGTGATTAATAAAAATTATTTTCTAAAGAAAAATAATTTATGTTTGAAAACTAAAAACTGGAAATCCTACTCACTGGTCTTTCTGCTCACAGAGTACTATTAGAGAGATCACTGGGTCACCTGGTTCTTCCTGATTCCCTTCACACCAACTAACTTCTCCAGAAGGAGGTGCTGCAAACAGTCTGGGAATGGGTCTCTGAGCCATCAAGTCTGCTGCTGACAGTTTCTTTCTTTCTTTTTTTTTTCACATAACAGAGAGGAACAGTGACATCATGTTCTTTTAAATACTATATTGAAGAATTTTGAAGTATTTTGTAAAACAAAAGCACTAGGACACTATCATTTCAGGCATTTCTAACAAATGCAAGTTAGGAAAATTCTTACTTATCTCATGAAAGAGAGGTTAAAAAGAACCCCTGAATACTCAAAAGGGAAGAAAGTTTATCTATCATGTATTTTACATGCGGCTTTAAGGAAAAAAAATGCAACAAACTCACCTAAAAGTTTTCAGATTATCTACATTTAAAATGTCTGGAATCTCTGGAAAAGAAAATATATTTATTAGGTAAAGTCTTCTATTACAGTATTTATAGTTTCTTCCTTTACCACCTCAGGAAGAAAAAGAAATAACTGACAGACAGAAGAATGCCCAAAGCAAAACAAACTTTCAAAGCATGATTACAAATCTACAATGAAAAGAAGTTTCAAAAGTATAAAGGACTTATTTTAATAAGAAGGTGATTAAAAAAAACCAACACTATTAAATAATGTATTCTAAAATAGAATCTATAAAATGAAATGAATCTGCAACAAAAATGTTTGACCTTTACAACAGCTTCGGAAAATAAGAATGTGAGTGAGGAATGGCTATACCAAACAGGGGCAAGACGGAGAGATGTTAGTACGTAGTCTTCACTGAATCTCACTGACAGCATCTCTGACTATTTGCCCATGTTTCTAGACGCCTGTAGACTTGTGTCACCACATTCCCTGGGCTGAGGCATAACCAGAACACAAAGTCTGAGATTTAGCACTGGCTTCACCACCAGTAGGGTGCCTGACGTGGGATGTGCTGTCCGTGACTGCTGCTCAGCCTGGCGGCTTCAGGTCGAGACTGAGCACAGAGCCGCCTGGGGAGGCCAGCGCGAGGGCAGAGCTGAGATCCGGGCGGCTCGAGCGCGGGCAGCGGAGCGGCAGCGCAAGTCCTCAGACGCCAAGTGCGTCCGGCTGATGAGCTGGACGTGGGGCCTGAAGTGTCTGCAGGACGGCGGGCGAGTGGTGATGTCCCTGACCGAAACACGGACTGCACAGAAGGAGCCAGTTTTAGGAGAAAAGCTGGGCTTTGCTTTGGGACATGCCGAACTGGAGCTGTCTAGAAGACATTCAAGCAGAGATTTTAAGAAACTCAAGTTTGAGTCTGGAGTTCTAGGGACAAGTTAGGATTGACAACATAAATTTGGAAGTCATGACATTCAGGTGGTATTTAAAAGCACAGGATTAGATGAGATATATGCAGGACCTGGTATAAACTGGAAAGACAAGAGGCCCAAGGACAGACATCCGGGCCAATTATTTAGTTTGTGAGGCTATGAGAAGGAGTTAACTTAGGAAACTGACATTATGGCCAGTGAACTAGGAGAAAAACCGGGGAAGGACAGCGGCTACTACCCCAAATAAAAAGTGTGACAAAAAACGAAGGGCTCATCTGTAGCAAAGGATGCCCAGAAGTTGACTAGGAGAGTCGGTACCCAGTACAGCTACCACCTGTCTTAGCAACTTAAACAGTTCATCAGCGATGAGGACTGTGAGTGGTGGCTACAAAAGCCTAATTCAAGGGCTTCCAAAGAAAATGGAAGATGAAGAAATGCAGACTATAAGCACAAATTTAAGTGAAAGGACACAGGAGTGGTTGAAGCTTTCCCTCAATCCCTACATGTCACATGCAATCTCGTTTAACTTGTAAACGACCTGGGAAGGGGAGGTGTACGATCCATCTCTATTTTTAAATGGAAGGTAACAAGGCTGGGGAGTGGGTAAGAAGTAACTTGTCCTGTTCTACAGTAAGATGCAAGGGTCTCAGTACAGATCTAACCTGTTCTAAAGCTACTTTGTTTTTTTTCCTCTTCTCTTTTTTCTTTCCAGTAAAAAACCTCATTTGTTAGGAATGCTGAAGAGGAACCGCCATCTACTCAGGGTTCCTAGTGTTACTGAAGGTATAAGTGCCTGAAGTGACCCTTCTGACTGCGAAGACACCCAACACAATGAACCACTGCCAGCTTCTGACACAGCTGCAGAAACAACTGCCCCACCCAATCAGAACACCGCAGGGTAACTGATCACTGGAGGGAACCCATTCTCCTTTCTGTCATCTTCATAAAGAGGGAGCCCCTGAAACCCTGGGCACTCCACCTGTGACCCTTCCAATGGCAGGACCCCCGGCCCCTGCGTGCCCCCTCTTTCTCTACCGGAGCCTCACCGTGTGCCCCTCAGGGCACCTCCAGGACCTGCAAGCGCTAAATTTTGTGTTTTTCAAGGCTCCCTGCTGGGTGCTGCTGAAGTGCACCCTGCAGTCATAGTGAGAAACCACCGGGTTTGGCCTGAGGGGAGAATGCCTGCGGGGGCCGCCCCAGCCTCTCCTGGATCGAGTGTTGGTATCGCCAGGGCTGGGACCTACACAGCAGGAGGCAGCAGGATAGCACCTCAGGCCCCTACTGTTATTACAGCTAAGAAACCTCATTTTCCTGTTAAACACTTCGTTTACTGTACTCTCCAAGCCAATCCACACCTGAGTGCCTACAGGGACCAGGCAGGGAACGCAAATGAAGGAAGGTCCAGGACCACGGAATGCCAAGTCTGAAAGTGATGGCTGCTGTTCTGCTCTAGCAGACAATGCTGTCAGACCGTATGTTTAACGGGCATCCGGAAATCTACGTTTTCCATGTGAACTCAGCAGATCTTTCCATACTGACAATTCCTACGCCAATCGAACGCTGCTTGCAGGCCGTGAGCAGCCTTTGGGTTGTCCGCTGCCGGTGGGCTTTGCGGGCCCTGCAAGCGCCCGCTCCTCTCCTCCTGAGCACTCTTCTTCGGACAGCGCTGCTAGACGGACACACACGTGTCTTCAGGAACTGCAAGAAATGCTACACTGCTAAGAAAGAAAATTTGATTTCTGTAATTTCTCAAGAATGGCTGCAACAAGTATAGCTCTTTAATGTGACTGGAGACAGGCAAGGAATAACCCTAGACCAGAGCAGGTTAAGCACATGCCTGAAGGGAAAGGAAAACATTACTATCATAGTAGAAAAATATCACTGTCAAAATTGACAGTTTTTGGAATGTAGGAGAAAAAAAGAAAGAATTAAAAAATTTCAAATATTCAAAAAGAAAGAAAAGGAAAATCGAAGTAAACTAAATAAACAGGACAAGTTACAGCGACAAGACAGCAGGAAGCAGCACGGGACTCACCGAGGCCGTGGGCCTGGTACTGCCGCCGCTCCCGCTCCAGGGTCTGCCTGATGGCCGCCGCCCGAGAGCAGTGCCTTCGGCCCTGCCTGTCCTCAAAGCTGTTCCGCAGCTCAATCTGCTCCAGCTTGCTGCTGAATCGATTCCAATACCTGAAAAACAAGATGGTCTGACTTACAATGTCTGTTTGGCGTACATTACTTCATTTAAAACATAATCCCCAGCCACTGCCTGTCCTTCTCAAGTTTTCATTTTCCTCTAGACTCCTTCAAGTTCTCAGACCTCAGACTTTCTCTTGAGAACTCAACCACTTCCAAAACTTCTGTGAACCAATCAAAGCCTGCATTACAATGTCTATTAAACTCCAGGTCCTCACACCCCACTACCTCCTGGATGTCTCCATCTGGCTTAACAGGTGACACCTTAACGCGCCCTCTGCCCTGCCCCTGGTCCCCTCCGAACCTGCCCCACCTTGCCCTGCCCCTGGTCCCCTCCGAACCTGCCCCACCTCTGCCCTGGCCCCGCCCTCATTCACGCAGAGGAAGACTGGGTCACCCTGACTCCTCTCTCCCCTTTATGCCACATTCAAGTCTTCACTGAAGATGGAGCCTTTTACCCCCCCTTCAACTCTCTAGACATTTCCATTTCTCTTTACCACACTGCTCCCACCACCACCTCTTGCATCAGCCTCTGAATAGTCTGTCCCCTCGTCCACTTTCCTCACTCTCAAAAGTTTCAATGTGAGCATCGCAGCTACTTGCTATTCAAAGTCTCCTATGACTCCCACTGTCCTTGGGTAAAGTTCAAACTCTTACAATGACATCTGAGATCTTTATGTGTTGGTTGTTTATTCAAACTGTCACAATTCCCTCCCGGAACCTATTATCTCAGTGATAGTAAATGCCTGGCAGATCACTAAATATGCTGCTCCCATCCCCAGGTCTTTCAGATCTTGTTCTCTCTGCCTAGACACTCTTCAAACTACCTCACCTCCATCTGCTAACCTCCATCTTCAGATGTGAGTTCTGATGTCATTTCTCAAGGAAGTCAAGAAACTGGGTTACCTGCCATTCTGAGGCTCAGAAAGGTGATGAGCCTACTAAAATGACTAAGCTAGTATACAAATCCAAAGTCTTTATAACAAAGTCTATCTGCTTGTCTATAAATCCAGAACAGAACTCTGCATCTTGCAGAACCAAGTTGGGGAATTCTTCTTACTGACCCTTTGCTCATTAACGTGCCCAGTGTTTACCTTTCAGTTAATTCACAAGCATCTCTTTTTGAATATTCTACTTTTTTGGGATCAAGGTGATTTTGAAACCACTGCAGTTTTTCACCTATAACAGCAAGTACCAAAACAGTTTAACACCACAAGTCATCATTTAAGCAGAGGTATTCATTATAATTTTCAACATCAATGTGTTTAAAACAGTATCAACATTTATTTCAAAGTTAAATATAAAGTTTTGTGTGGGCTCAAAGCTAACTAAACCAGCCTGTCAGAAACTGAACTGTCACATTTTAATTTGGGGAAGAGACAAAGGTAGGAAGGATGCTTTTCTGTATGTATTTCTTATCCAGTAAGGATACAAAACATTTTTTAAAAGAAAGAATACACTAAAAGAACATGAAGTTCCAAGTATTTATAAAGCGAAGGACAGAACTTGTCTGAAAGGGAGTTTGATTAGATTAATGAAGAGCATGGTATGTGCTGAACTTTTAAAGAGCAGCAGGCACGATGTCCAGGCACAGGTCTTGACTTTTACAATCCTATGACGATTATTATTATTACCTCCATTTAGAAGAGAAAGGTTAAGTAACCTGTTCAGGGCCTCAAAGTCAGTAAATACACACTAAGCATACAAGATCTGCCGTATACTATGCAGAATAACTGACATGTACTATCAAGGAGCTGGCAGACTTCGTGCTTATGAGTCGATCTGACCATAGCGGTGCCACTTTCAGTAAGATTTCTCAGTATTATAAATCAAGAAATGGCCCTACCCAGGATTACTGATAAACCATTTACAAATATGATTCTGCTGTCTGATAAGGCAGTAGAGTGAACAGTTTGAATATCTTTCATTTTAGTTATAAAGCCTAGTAGCTACTCTTTTGAAATCTCAGACTTATCAGATAACCTTACCAATAATAAATCTGATCACACACCCACACACACACATAAAAGGACTGTGACACTGAGATATAGACTGAGGATATATTCACATCATTAAACATGAATTCCTGTTTCCAAAACCCTTCATAATTCTAATTGTTAGGAAGCTAGAATTAAACTGGAGAGGGGGGGGGGGATGGATAAAGGTAGATACTAAACAATTTCTAAAAACCTGAGCTAGACAGTAACACTGTTCTAACAGTTTAATGACTGACTTTATTTTAATCAAGTCTGGTAGAAAAAAATCACTTAATCTGACAAAATCACTTTTATCTGGTAGAGATAAAAACAGCATTTCACTAAGAGAGTCAAGAGAAAATAAGTAAGGTAAGAACTTCAAACAAGTAAATCCACTTTCCAATAAGGCTGAGACGCAACGCCTTTTCATTCTTCAATCTCGGAGAAAAAGTGCATGTGTATAGAAAACTTGCAAAACAAGTTTTAAAAATCTGAAAAAAACAACAAAAACTACCCAAAGAACCTTAATTCAAAGATCACTTTTATGCATATGAAATTAATTTTCTTAAAGAAGAAACACTGACACCATGCTTCTCTTTTAAATCACTGAAACAAAATGTTACTAGAAATTTTCTTCTGCTCTGCAGTGACTAAAGGACACCTATAAAACTGGTCTTGAAAACACAAAGGAAAGCTTGTCTGAATTTTGTAACATGCATAATGCTTGTGCACAGAAGAGCAACGAGGACCTTCTAGAAAACAGTGCTGCCATCAAGACCAAAATGCATCACTGTCATCTTTTAAACTTCAACAGGAATCAAACAAAATGTTTACTTTTCATAAATTTGATACAAATGATAACAAAGAAAAAGAACTCATTTACTCTCAGAAAATGGCCTACAGGATCATGAGCCTCCCACTGTTGCTATTTTGAATTTTAATCCATTCAGGGATGTCCCTGGCAGTCCAGCGGTTATGTCTGAGCTTCCATCGCAGGGGGCGTGGGTTTCTCTCTGGTCAGGGAACTAAGATCCCACAGGAGGACAAGAAAAGAAAAGAAAAAACTCTTTTCCATTCAGAAAAGAGGGACGCTAGTGAGAGGGTAACAGGCAGGAAGGCTGCTGCTGCTGCGTCGCTTCAGTCGTGTCCAACTCTGTGCGACCCCATAGACGGCAGCCCACCAGGCTCCCCCGTCCCTGGGATTCTCCAGGCAAGAACACTGGAGTGGGTTGCCATTTCCTTCTCCAATGCATGAAAGTGAAAAGTGAAAGTGAAGTTGCTCAGTCGTGTCCAACTCTTAGCGACCCCATGGACTGCAGCCCACCAGGCTCCTCCGTCCATCGGATTTTCCAGGTGAGAGTACTGCAGTGGGGTACTATTGCCTTCTCCGGGCAGGAAGGCTAGGGATCTCCAAATGGAGGCAATAGGCTGCAATCATCACAAGTTTTTTCTCTCTCTATGTCAGGAGGAAACAGACTAAAATTGTCAGATTTTTTTTTCCTTCTCCATACAAAATTAAAAGGAGGTTTCCTTTAAAATTCTGTTGCCATGATGACACCTGGTTCCACCTGAACTTAACTTTTCTCAGCCCTTAAGCTAACCAATGTGTTTCTCACAGAAATGTTTTTCTTAAGTTATGTTAATGAACAATGGATTTACCTTAGACTCTGTCTTTCTTCAAGTCGGTTCCAACTAAGACTCAGAACGGACTTGACAAACCAGTATGTTTTACTCTGGCAAATGTTCTCTTAAGCTATGTTAATGAGACTACAAATTTGCTTGGAAACCTGCCTTTCTTCAAGATTCATGGCAATCGTGTTATGGCCTGGGATGACTCACCTTGTGCCAATGTTATCTCAAAATACATGTTGTGGGTGAGGGGCCTGGTGCAAATCCAATGGGTGCAGTGTTGTTCTGGTGAAAAGTTGAAATTGACTTGTTCCTTGACACAAATTTCCTCTTCATGGTGATGGGATTTGTAACTGTAGATTTTCTACACTCGTGTGGGTCCTGGGTACAGTGATGGGAAGTGGTCACACCCCGACCTCTAACCATAAGGGTGGTGGTGTCCCTGCCGTGACTCTGCCACCTGGACTTGGCTCCAGGAGACCCCAGGTATTTGGATTCAAGTTGGAACCAGATATGTGCCCAGATGCTGGATGGTGGCTTGCTCTTGCTACTGCAGCAGGCATGCTGTGATAAGATGACCCCAAGGTGATCTGGCCACAGTAGGAACACAGGCAGTGCTGGGTGTGCCACACAGTTCTGTCCAAAAGTTAGGTGGGCCAGATGCTTCTGAATAAGTGAGGCCTAGGGCATTCACACCAACCCCAAACTCCCACCAGCCATAGAGGCTGCAGGTCCCATCCACAGTGGGCCTGATGTGGTACTAGCAGACAGCAAGCTACTGTCTCCAGTACTGGGTACTGTGGTATCCACTCCAAAACCAGAAGTAGCAGATACATCCCTGGGGAAAATACCTGAGCTGTAGACAAAGGCCAGCTGCATGTTGATGGTGGTGGTGGAAGACAGGGGATCTGGTAAACCTGAATCCATTATCCTTCCTCTGGGTAGCTGGACTGCAGAAGAGGTTAGCTTTTTATCTTGTGCTAGGGCTAATGGGTTTCCCAGTGGAATAGACTTGTTAGGCTTCTTCCTATTGTTGGCCCCAGATGTGGGTTGGTGAGTTCTGGCTCCAAGCTTCTGGGTTTCAAGCTTCACGTGAAGCTGATGATGAACTGCACAGGTAAATAAGTCGAGGCTTGGGTCCAGGCATTGCTGCCACTGGGTGCTGTGTTCTCAGAACCAGGAACAGCCATGTGATGGGAGGAGTGGTTCTCCTTGGAGTCAGAGGTAGACTGGAAAGTAACGTCTGAGGAGGAGGTGCATCCATAGCATTGATGTCAAAGACTGGTTTGACATCTGTAGAGATGCTGACTGCTGAAGCCATAGGTGGGGGTTTGGGGAAAACAGGAGCTGAAGCCATAGATTGGCGTTTGGGGAAAAGAGGAGCTGGAG